TCTCTCTCTCTCTCTTTCTAATACAGGGTCTCCCTCTGTATCCCAGGCTGGCCTTCAACTTGTGATCTTCCTGCCACTAAACCCTAAACCCAACTCACATTTCCTGATTTTATACTTAACCATGTGACGATGTTACTACTATCCTGTGATTTTTGTTTAATGCTCTTCTGTTTTTTTAAAACCAGTGAAGTTGTTTCTGTAATACATGAAGGCTGTGTCACCTGACTTGCCTCTCTTATAAAGACAACTCTATTTAGGCCTTGAAAGTCTTTGTATCATTCATTGCTTAACCTGGAGATCTGATAACACCTCCCACCTTGGAAAACCCTGAATTCTGCCTTTTGCTTTCCTGCACAGGCTCCATTATCAAGGGTGAGCCACCATTTCAATTGGTTCTATCCTCCCCTAGCCCTCTCCAAGTGTTTGTTACCATCCTGTGGCCACCTGCTTCAGGGTCTCTCTAATTTGGATGCAGGATTAATTCTTGTAAGACCATTCCTTATATTTTTCTCATGGGAACTTTTCCAGAGACATCCTGATTCCTCCCCAACACTTTTCTTGGAACCTTCCCACTGACACATGACTCAGGAGTCGTTCCACTCCCATCTGATCACTTCCTGATTCGCACTTACTGCTCCCTCCATTGCGGGCCTCTAAGCCTGGGGCAAGCTCTTGTGAGGCCAGGTGCTCTCTGAATTCACCTATAACCAACCTAGCTTCTTAGCCTACCATTGTGGGGAAGAAATATGTTCTTGCTTGGGAGCGCTGTCTGACCTGAGCCATGTGGCCATGGTTTTCAATGGCGTAGTGCTCCCAGTTATTTTTCTAGATACTGTCCTGCCTCCCACCCCAACCCAGTTGTCATGGCTGAAGTGAACACCTCATCTTCTCTTTTCCCCCAAAATCCTGAGTGTACCTTCTTGGTATAGTGCTTTCCCCTGAGCCTCTCGGCACCCTCTGCTCTCTTAGCTGCTGCTTCCTTCCACTGATTGTGCTGGTTTGACCAGCTCTCCTCTCATGTCTCCCACCTATTCCTCACCTCCTCACAACTCTCCTGGGTCCGGCTAACCCTTTCTCCTGCTTTCCCATCCACTGCCCAGAGAA